TGTGAAGGTCTGTTTTACTGGACGGGTTCAACGGCTGTAGGCCATTTTCTGTTGCACAGTGCGATGCAGCTCCTAGCACAGGTCCTTGTCAGCAAGAGTTGCCAGAATTCAGCAAGAAAAGCAGCAAACCATCTCCAAAACGAGAATGGCAAACCTCCAGTCAGTCATGTCCGTGTTGTCCGCAGGCGAGGGTCTTACGCTCTTCTCAGCAGTCAAGCATTGTTAAATTTTGGAAGTCATCATACAGAGGTTGCCATTCCCGGAGTTGTTGTGCTATGTTGTCTGAGCAAACAGGAAAGCATAATGACATACCTTTACGAGATCCTCCTTGGAGCAGAACCAACTACTCTGGCTATGCGTTTGTCGTGGCGCACAATTCTTCCATTTTGGGACCATCCGAACGTCTAAACACCTAAACATCTGAATATCTGGTGATGCCGGGGCAGCAAGAAAACTTTTTGTGCAACCTGGAGTCTGGAGTTTGGAGTCTGGAGTCGAAGAGCAGGGCTCGCAGGGGGTGCTAGATTCTGAGCCAAGTTGCGATGCCCCAGACATTGCGCATGGCAAATTTGCAAATGTGCATATTGTGCCCAAAACACGCAGGGGGGTTGGCCACGGACGGCAGGGGAAACCGAGGCAGAGACTGGAATGCGCGGAAAGGCGGGGATTGAGCAAGCCACAAACTTTTGCTTTCTTCTCGGCCATGTCACAACAAGGGCTTTGATCTCTTCCTCCACTCGGAGAATGCCGTCCCAGTACATCCCCCCCCTCCCCTTCTTCCCATCGTTGCAGAAATGAGGCTCTCGGTTGAGCCAACCTACCTGTCGCAGATTTGCTCGCCGGAACTCAGCCGTCGTCAACGACCTTTCAAGCATTTTTGGTCGTCAAAAGAGCACAGTCGGCAGCCGCCACCCATACTTGTACCATGAGTTGAGACGCATCGAACGAGCCGTCACTTGAGACATTGCAGAAAAGCGAGGGAGAAAGGACGTGGGGGGTTGAAGAGAAGGCGGCAACAAAAAGAAGACAAAGATAAAACGATGAAGAGAAATAGAGTGTAGGAGGCCGTGCTGACCTTTTTGCTGGAGAAGCGCGCAGGCTTCACATTCTGTTGTCGAGACGCTGGCAGCTTTTGGTAGAGAACAAAGTTACGAATTTTTTTGCTGTCGAAAATTTCCAGGTCGCGAAGTGGATCAATCGCCAGCAGCTGTGGAGCGCGATGACTAAGCTTGGACGTGGAAACACGCTACGACTCGATGTTTTGCTGGAGAAGAGGCCCTAATTGCACTGGGGAAGATAAGATCGCCGAGGCTTGGTTGGGGCCAATTCACGCTGGAAAGTCTAAAACAACAACGAAAGGTGCAAATTGTAAGAGAACGACAAGGAGAACATGTGTAGAAGCATGTAACCATGCACAGCACGATCGTGAGTGGGACGAATGATGGTGAAAAGGCGGGGAAATAGGGGCAGCATTCCACGGCCGTTGCTTTTTTGAAGGCATGACGAGCTTGTAGACTAGTTTAGTACGATGCATGCTTTTATAGATAGGACGATATCTGTATCGTGTCAAAAATGTACGACGCCGTGTCGTTTTCATTTCATTGTGGCAACTGATGAGAGCCTTTGTTCGCTGCGTAGAGAGTTCACTGCGTGCTCAAATAACGAGTCGGAAAGGGATGTCCATGGACACAGACTCTGACGGACAAAATATATGACGGTCAGAATATAAATCTATCGTTTTGCATCCCAAAGGTTGGGTACGAGTGTCAAGCCCCTACGGCAGCTAAGGGGGGACGGACAAAGAGAGAACCAAAACGAGATGTCGTACCGCCGAGACAGAGAAGCGTGTTTGGCCCTGCCTGTGTCAGTGCGGTTCCGCCACATTCTGATTTCATAGCGGGCATGCATGTTGTACGGAATACGAATAGCAGAAGGCAGGGCAGGTAAGCAAGGAGGACGTGTGGGGGGTGTGGAGAGAAAAAAGGAAAGAAAAAGAAAAAAAACGGAAAGGAAAAGAATAAGAAAGGAAAAAAAGATAAACCTGAATTTCCGAGAAAAGAATGAGATGAAAGCAAGAACATTTGCATGATGCTTCCGCATACTGCTGTACACATGCCCTGCACATGCACGTTGACGTTTTGAGCCGTCTGTTGGTTGGCCCAGCCAGCCACCAGAGAAACAAAACTTGTTGATTGGGTTGATGGGGTTGATGATAGTCATCGCTCCACCGTTTGTTTCTCGACCGGCGACTTGGCAATCTCGAGGGATTTCGAGATGAAGAATATGTGATCCCTTGCCCAATTGGGTACCATGCAATTGTTGCTCGCCAGGAAGGAGACTCCCGGTGTGCTCAGAAATGCGGTCAGCGATAAGCAGGGAGAGTCGGATGGGAGACCTTGTCTTGCCTTTGTTTTGGCAACAATGTACTTCGATCTATGCATGCACAGATCTTCATTGTTTTGACCGCCTCTTTCGTCATTTTCGTTTGTATCTTATCGACAGCCGGCCAGATGGGGTTAATATCCAATCCGATGCTAACTGTGGCGAAGAATGACTTCCCTTGCATGCAAGCAACGTGCGTGTGCATTCTGTTGTTTCTGGTATTGGCCCTTTGAAGGTCTTGGAACGGATGAATTTAAACCATGTTCTAGACCTATGTTGCTGTCCGGGGACGTCGGAAATAGGATGAAGCTCAATTGGAAAGCCGAGAAGTACATGAACTCAGAAACAAGTGACGGGACAGGAAAGGAAAATAGGCGCAAGATAATGTGGCTGGATGTTTTATGTCTGACAATGTACAGCGTATATACGAGCTTGGATGCTCAGCATCCAAGCTGGCCTGCTGCGTGTGGCGACATCCCCTGTCGAGGCCGTGATGCTTCAATTTCGCAACTCGCAATTGCCCTTTGTTTTCTCTATAGTTTGTCATGGTTCATCCTTGTTTGTTTAGACGAGTTTCCCGCCAGACGGTGCGGGTGTCTAGACTGTACGACCCAGCGGCTCTTGTTTTACGTTTATTGTCGGAGTTTTCAGTTACTTGCATGGATCCATTGTTTCTGTTTATATACAGACGCGACGCGTTCCATTTAAATTGCTATGTGTTGATCTATAACGGCAAATCGTATTTATTGCAGCAGGCTGAGGCTAGCATCAAAACTGGCACTCTCAGGTCGACAACGTAGGGCCACGGACACTAAAACCTCGCCAAATCGATCCAGCTGTAGTGCCATGTGCTTTCATCTGTGTCGGACCGTAGCGGCTCTCCACACTGACGCAGTTTCAAACGTACGCTGCAGCGCTGTCGTTTATTTTCCAAATCCAGCCTCGTCTCACTCATAAGTTGTACGGCGTTATGACATAAGTCGTACACATTGTCCAGACTTGCCCTCAACCCAACCCCTCGCGAGCAGTTCTGTCTCCATTCTTGGCATTTCCCATCTCTCTCGAGCTGAAACGCAAAGAGACGGGCAACGGCAATTCCTGTCCATGCAATGGCACTGTAATGTACAGAGTATCGTATGCAGCTCCGAGATTGCCCAGTCGGATCAGCCGCTTTCCGTTGCAAACGAAAGACGTGGTCTGCAAGCACACGCTACTGCCCGCTCCAAACACCTCTTTTCGGCCTATTTTCCTGGTTTGGCCTGTGTCCGATGTTTGGTTTCACCTGTTGCTTCCTTATTTTCTCTCTCCCTCTGACCGCTATTTGACTTGACCGTGTATACTTGACCATATATGCAGTTCTAGATTTGTCTGCAGAGCACACAGCATGCAAAGAGATAATTCGGTGTTGTAGATCGTGACTTAAAAGCTTGACGAGTTGTGCCCACGGTATAAACTCGGATCTCCGATTCCCGTGTCAAGCCCATGGTCTGCACCGTACGGTTGATGCGCGGGAGATTGGACGACGAGGAGGTAGCTCCCGTACCAGAGTTGAGGATTTCTTGGTCAGTCCCCGAGCCCAAGTCGAGTTTGCTTGTGGGGTGTCTGTCGATTGTGCATTGTCCATTATGAAAATCATAATTAATTTGTATTGATTTTCATAATAATACAGTCTACAAAATGACAAACGAAACTGGCGTGGCACAATATGGCTTAGCAGAAATGCTTTGTGTATGGTGTTACAAAACGAAATCAGAAATGAAGGCAGTATCTGTCGGAAATAAAAATAAAACAAACCGCGCTGCAACGGGCTTTCGGCACGTAAAAGGCAAACAAAGCAGGCGCCCTAATCCACCAACCACACGAGCATCCTTGTCAAGTTTGGTGTTACCCCCCACGCATTGTCGACAGTACAGCCTCTCCGTGTGGCTGGTACTTTGCTGCTGCCCCCTGTCCCTCCATGGACCGACTGTGATAGCCGTGATGCCTGACATGAAGACACCGTATGTACGACGTACCGACGACGCTTCGAGGCCCAACAACTGCGTATGGCAAAGCAAACGAGACGAGGTCACAAGAACAACAATGGTGCGGTGCAAACGGACGGCTGCACCAACACTGAGCTGTGAAGAGTAGGGGCCCGGGGCCCGAGGCTAGGCATGCTGTCCTGCTGAGAGGCAGGCGGGCAGCCGTGTCCATTTGACGTCGCTCTGCCTTCTCAGTTTATGAAGGACGGACCGTTGGCCGCAGTAGGAGTGATGCTTGTCAAGGCACCCACAATGTGATTCTCGTTTGTCGAGGGACAAACGCAGGGAAAGACGTAAATGCACAAGACAATACGAGTTGCATCTGGGTGTAGGTCGGCAGCCGTTTGTATTGTTGCACATTCTTTTCTTGTCTCCATTGTCCCTCGAGCCCCGAGTTTACTTCTTGCGAATGAGCCCGTCTTTCTCGTCTCCCACCGTCGCTGCCCATACACTTGCAAGTATTTTCTCGTATATAATCCATTGCATCCCAAGGTCGACCATGCGAGACGTTCTATCGTTTTTGTTCCCGTCTCCATCGTCACAAACCCCAAGGAACTACCATATACGAGCTCCGTAACCTCAACTCCGCCCATCATGCTCGCTCCTCCCCGACCGGGCATCTCGAGCGAGGCCTTCACGGCAAAACCAATTTTGTCTTGTTCTCCACCGTCAACGTCTGCTACGTCGCCTTCTCCTGTATCGGCCAAAGGACTCCCCACACCAGCGCTGGACAAGCAGCACCGACCGCCCACCCCGCGTCCATCGACATCGCCCACGCCTTTGCCGCCACCGGTAGATCATTGGGCCCAACCGATGAGCACGGGTTCTGTCTGCCACGAGTGGGTGCTGGAGAGCGAGATTTTTGGAGTTTCCCGCGATCAAGGAAGAATGGGCGACACCAAGGGGAAGGGGGACGGACAGGACGAGAATGACGCCGCCAAGGTGGACCAGGGCGCAGACACAGTCGACAGTCGCCCGTACAAACGGCAGCGGGCGGGCCAGTCGTCTCGGATCGAAACAATGACGTACGTGCTGTATTGCCCCAATGGACGCAAGGTGCTGCTGCCGACGGTCGGCATCGTCGGCGTGGCCCAGCTGTGCCTGTGGGCCGAGGACAGTGAGACCAGCAGCAGCAGCAACAGCAACAGCAGCAACAGCAGCAGCAACAGCAACAGCAGCAACAGCAGCAGCAAGACGGCCAACAGAGACGAGCCGCCCACGACAAGACCCATCCCGCTGGTGCCTTCTGGGCCGCCGCAGCCCATCCGCCTGTCGCCGCACCAGCGCATGACGGTGCGGGAGCTCGTGCGCATCAGCCCGCGCTTCCACTTTGTCATGACGCCACACACGACGTCCCTCGCGCTGACCAAGGCCATTGGGCTTGTGTGTCCCGCGGCGGCGGCCGCGATGCTCGCCAGCCTCAACACGACGTCCACCACAGCGCCCGCCACCGAAACGGGCCACCTCGTGACCCACGTCTCGCGGCTGGTCGGCGGCCGCTGGTACTGCCGGCGCGCGCCGCTTGCGTCCGTGCCGCTCCTGTGGCCGGCCAACACGACGCTCGCCCTTCCCATCACGCAGCCGCTGCCCTTGCTGGCCCTGCCGCGCAAGATGACCGTGCACGTCGGACCCGAAACGGGCCCCGGTGCGCCATGGCCGCCCGTGGTGCACGAAGAGGTCCTCGGCGAGGGCCTGACGTGCTTGCGCTACGACACGGCCAACTCGCTCGCGGTTGTGCTCAACCCCCTCAAGGGCCAAGTGTTTACGATGCAGGGCGCGGCGAAAGGCGAGACGAAACGAAAGGAGAGGTCCGGTCCGGCACGCGGCGCCAAACGGCGCAGAAAGCGGTCGTCCTCTGCGTCGGCGTTGACAGCAACATCCAAGTCGCCCGTGTCCAAGTCCAACTCTACATCGAGATCGACACAATCCCTTGCATCGGCGCCGACACAGCCCTCGCCCATGGGCACACGCACGCTAAACCCAGCGGCCCAGTCTCCCCCGCCGGAGAAAAAGCGTGGGACAACGTCCCGCATCAAAGCCGAACCCGCCGCCGGCCACGAGCCACTTCGTATACAGGACCGGTTTTACGAATATGTACCACCGCGCGGCCGTGACCTGGTCCTGGACGTGCGCAACGACAAGCCCGTCCCTCTCCCCTTGCATCCAAAGGCTGCCTTTGGCCCGCGCAATCCCCTCACGGACCAGTCCCAGTCCCAGTCCCAATCACAGCCACAGCATCAAGCGGCCGACCGACGACAGCGCGGACCAGACTTGCAGCCGCTGCTCGCCGACGCGCCACGGCCGCACATGCCCCAACGACTGCCACCGCTGCGCGGTCTGATGCAGGAGGTGGAGGCACAATGCCGGGCACAAGGGCCCGCGGCGGCTCGACCACCGAGCCAGCCACCCACACCCACAGCCAGCCCTGCGCTCCCTTCTGGACCGGCCGTGGCCTCCCACCTGCCGCAGCACCTCCACCAGTTCCTCCGCCAGGCACCCGTCGGCGCAAGGACGGTACAGGGGCGACAACGACTCCCTGCAGGCAAGGGTGGGCCGCAGGGCATCAGCATTACCATGCAGCAGCACGTCAGGAGCTCGGCACAGTCGCGGTGGCTGTGGAACGGGTTGGTGGATGATGATTCGGATGTGCCCACGTCGGTCCCACGTCGGGCGTTTGGGGTTCCTAGGTAGCCTGGTAGCCTGGTAGCATGGTAGCATGGTAGCATGGTAGCCGGTTCAGAGTGCATGTATGCACAATGCCCTTTTCGTCCAATACGTTGAGAATGTACTTTTACTGCTCTACAAACGGCTACGCAGCCCAGAATAGACAACAGTGTCCGTGCGATATGCAAATGCAAATGCAAGACGCAGCCTTTGTATGTCCCAAAAGGGAACTAAAGGGCGCGCTATATCATACTCCCAAATCCCAAAACTGCATGGACAACATACAATGTCCCTGCAAAGTGAGCCACGGCCGACTGGTCGCCGTTGATGACTTCGCCGTTACACCGACCAAGTTTGCAAAGCATGAACGGCCAGTCACATGAGCATCGTGCAATCCCCGTATCAGGCAGAACTGCCCAAACTGGACATGTTCCATGCTGACCCAGGAGATGGTGTGACTGGGAGATTGCGGTGTATGGAGGATTGGGCATCATTTTGCTTTTTGTGGCCTTTTTGTGATGTCTTGCGTTTTTGTGTTACACAAAAGGTAGGGCACGATGGACAATGCACATTGGCAATGCCCTCTCTTGACTGGTGCAAATACGACGTACGTATTTCGTACTCTGGACTGTGTCTCTGTGTTTTCACACCCTCTTTTTGTCCATGTGACGCGTTTGCTCGCCGAACCGTCTGAGACCCGATTTGCGGTACGTCTCGCCCTTTTTTTACGGGGCAAGGGACGCACCGGGGAAGTATGTACAAGTGTACATCGGCAAGTCGGGACGCCAACGGCCTTTGTGCACATCCTTGCCGGAACGGGTGCAGGCCGTGAGCAGCCAGGCTGCCAGGCATATCCCGAATCTTGTCTCCCAGATCATCGTAGCAAACAACAGGCCGATCCCTTGGTGAGACACCGTTACAAGGCGCAAAGAACTTTACATACGAAGATAAAAAGATACGAACATACGGGAGTGAGACGGACTCCGAGCGGGAGTTGAGACATCTCCGCGAATGCAATGTCTCCACGAGGCATGCTTGCTACTTTCGTATGCCCTGTCGGCGCTTTGTTTACTCCAAAGCACGTCGTTTCCTTCTGTGCAGAACTCTCCGCAAAATGAACCTTTCCAAGACATTGGACTCAGCACAGACAGGGGTCATTGACAAATACATGTACTTCGTACTCTTTTGTGTGAGATTGTCATACAGCCTTCGCCCTGTTTTCTTTTTCGCCCTTTCCCCTCCTCTCTTCTTACTAGTCTCGGCGCCTCGTTTTCAGGGCCAGGGGAGCCGGCCCTGCTCGACTTTTCTGGGCTTGCTCTTTCGACCCAGGAAATAAAATAGGCCCGCTCGGGCCCGTGGATGATCAGCAGCTACTTCGTCCCAAAGTACATGTAAATGAGGCATTCCCACCCCCTCCCTTCTGTCCACTCTCCGCTGTGGACCTGGACGGCGAGGAACGGGGGCATCGTATCTGGGACTGGTTAGACTTTACACACTTCCCTGGCCTTGTGTCTGCAAGGACCTTGTGAGCGGGGGAGAGAGATGGCGCATCGACAGGGAGGTCAACGGACATGGGCAAGACATCACGGAAGAAGACAATGTACGAAGTACACACATATGTCCTCCGTTTCGGTCGACAGGACGGACGTGAACGAGCGCAACCCGAACATATCCCGTTGACCCGACTGTCTGCACGTCGCTCCACGGACGTACAAAGAAAACTCATCATCACGTCGTCGTACTGTGCTCCTACCAACCTCTTGTTTTTCTACATACTTGACGACATCGCCGACGATGACCCAGCAGGCTGGGTACAGAAGAAACAACAACACCCGCATCACTATGGGGACACGGCCATGCTCGAGAGAAAAGTACGGAAATAAGATAAGGCCACGACTGTGTACTCCGAGCTCCGCTACGCTGTTACCAGTGGCATGGGTTCGAAAGGGGCGGACGGACAAAGAGGGACCATCCTTTGGGCTAGATGTTGCAGGGGTCCTGGAGTGCCCCAGCTGAGAAAAACGCCACCAAAGTCCACCAAGTCAACTAAATAGGCGCTAAAACAAATGGCCCAGGCGACACTGGAAGCTAATGCTAGCCTACTTCAAGTCCCTCCTGCAATGGCATTGGAATGCCTCTCTGTTGGCCCATTTCATTGTCCTTTCATTTTCATCTGGACATGTCCCTGCTAGTGCGCCAACCCAACAGACAGCCTTTTGCTTTAGTTGGCGCCGGAGAAGACTATGCCTTTCAAAGTAACATGCCGTTTGCTGTTATCACGTCTGCGTCCGGTTTTGATGTAATCTTACCTCTTTCGAGCCGTGCCGTGGATGATGGCATAGAAAGTCACCGTCCTCGAGAGCCAAAGCACGAATTACACGGAATGCTGATTCGAATCATGGTTCTCTCTCATCACGGCGCATGAGCGCACTTCAAAGGGGGTGGCCATATCCATCAAGGTGAAAGCGCAGACGCAAAAGTGACAAGACAGAGAGAAAATATGTGACACGCTAATAGATGTGCCCCGATCAGGTCTTGGCGGCCCCTGGTCGGCACGCGTGACCGAAGGGGCAATCGAAACGGACGAAAACAACGGCCGAAAGTCGAGGAACGAGGAACGAAACGAGGAACGCGAAACAAGAGGATTGAGGATGGGCTGGTTGAAGAGGGAAAACGAGAAAGTCTCCGCGAGAAGCCAAGAAACAAGGATCAAAGACGAAGGAAAAAAAGAGGAAACGAGTGTGCTTGTCCCGTCTTTCTGGCAATTCTGTCGAGAAGCAGCTACTCCCCAACTGATGAAGTGGAAAAATGGCGTCAGGAGGGGGTTGTGTCGAGTCGACGCTACGACGAAAGAACACTGAGACATGCAAAGCCCCTGTGTGGCGAGCTGAGGGGTCAAAGGCTGCAGTCTTTTCCGTCGTCGCCGGAGCACACCCTCTTCCGGGAACGTACACCGAGAATGAAGGACTTGTGCATCGGAGAAAATAAAAACAGAAATGGGGTAAAGAAGAACGGTGCAGGACAGCATACGCCTTGCCTGGGCGTTTCGGATCATGATGCTTAAATTATGATGCTTAAATTTGCCGCGGTCCAAGTATTGATACATACAAGTACAAGGTACAACTACAGAATACAAGATTTACATACAAGATGTACTTTGTACATAGAAGAATATACAGAAGAGTAAGAGCGTGCTGTGTTGTCGTACCGCCGCATCACGGTTGCCTGGCCTCTGCTGCCTCTGCTGCCTCTGCCGCCTCCATGGCCTCCGCTTTGGCCTCCCCCTCGACCCGTGACCGAATCGCCGGCGCCACCATCCACGGCTTGCCCAGCACCCGCTTCAGCAGCCGGAGCTCGCGGTCTTTGGCGGCCAGCAGCCGGAAGAGGTCCGTCACGGTGGCCTCGAGCTGCGTCTGGTCGGCCGGGCCGGGCACGAGCCGGCGCGGCCCGGGGTACGGCGCCCACAGCCGCCGGTGGCGGACGTAGACGGCGCCGTGTTCGTGGGGGGCGCCCTGCTGTTGCAGCGCCAGCCTCTGGCGCTCGTTGAACTGCAGCCGGTGCACGACGTGGGCCACTTTGGCCGTGACCGCGTCGAGGGTGAGGCTGCTGTCGTGGTGGTCGTGGTCGTGGCGGCTCTGGCCGCGGCGGTGCCACTCCGGCACGGGGATGCAGTGTGTGCCGAGGGTGCAGCCGGCGCAGGCCCACAGAAACGTGTCACTCCAGGGCCGACAAGGAAGCGACGCCGCGTCGGTCATGTCGTCGGCGACGTCGTCGGTGGGGAGGGCCATGTTGTTCCACCGCGGGAGGAGGGACGGCAAGTCCGCAGGCGTCACGTCCGGATCGGGGCCCAGGGAACCGTCCGCACCGGTTTTGTTTTTGCCATCGTTGTTGCCCTCGCTGTAGACGGGCACGTCCACACAGGCGTGCGTTGCCGGGTTCGGCACGGCCTCGACGCGCTCGACGACGTTGCCGTTGCCGTCGCCCATGCTGACCATGCCGCGCAGCAGAAACAGGCGCGTGGCGGTCCAGACGCGGTCGATGCGGGCGGGCAGTGTCAACCGGTCGCCGGCGTCACGGGCGAACTTGCTGTCGTCGTCGTCGTCGTTGTCGTTACTGTCCTCCGACTCAATCTGGTAGAAGCCCTGGGCAACCAGGCAAGCCTCGTGGAAGCCACGTCCATAGGAGCGACTGCTGTCGACATCGGCGCTGGGAGTTCGGTTGCGATCATGTTCGTACAACAAGGCACACTTCATCAGCCGCGCAAGATCGCAGTGGAAACGGCCGGGCAAAGCCAGAGCGTAGGCGAGCTTGAAGACGTGCGTTGGAGAGAGTGGCGGCGTGACCGTGCATGTTGTGGTCCCACTTTGATGTGCGTCGTATTTTTCAGACATCGTTGCATTTGTCGTGCTGCAGTTGTGACTATGCCAAGAGAGACGTATATGTTCTTGGTTTGTGATGTGCAGCTTTGGCTCGTGGTCGTCAGAACGACACACGACATCCACCAACGCGTCATCCACGGAACATACGTCGTACAATATACTCGATCCTCGGTCCTCGTCAGACGGCCTCGTCCGTCTCCCTAAATTCGGCGTATTTCCGACAGAACATCGACCGAGCTCTCCTCACCGCAGCTGAGCATTGCATCCCTTGCCAGTCCTAATTTATAAATTTGTAATTGTGTATTGCTTCCAACAGCCGCCCTCGGCCTCTGCAAATGGCATGTACGCAAGCCTTGCCGTCAAAAGAAGAAAGCAAACTGTCCCATCATCGCAACCCGGAGAGCTGGATGGATATGCGGCACGGCTGTCCCTCTCGTTCCTCTTCGAGATGCGTCTCATTTCCACGACTGCCACCTGTTGGCAGTTACCAGAACGGCAATTTACCATGTCCGACAAACTCCATGCTCCACGCTCTTTGCTCCAAACACCTTCCCAACCCCAGGCCCCTGCATGGGTGTTCGAGGCTGACGCACCAATGGAGCGACCAAAACAGACCAGTGTCCTGTTTTAGCTTTTGAGCGCAAAGAAGAGTGAGACATGCAGGACCAAACGACAGCGGCCTAGACTTCTTTGTCGCCGACCTCCAAACGTGACTGTGGGAAATGTGGAAAAAAGGCTGGTGACCCAGCTGAAGGAAGCAGCGGAGATGACGACGGGAGGTTTGGAGGGCGAAGAGAAGAGAGGAGGGCGAGGGTGCAGAGGGTGGGACGTGCAAGACGGAGGGGTCTTGTCTCAATAGGGTAGCGAAATGCGCGTAGCACAGTGGGATTTAAGAAGGGGAACAGGAGGGGGGGGGGCTTTTGTGATACGTCGTTTTTCTGACTTTGGCGACTACATGGTAAGAAATGCACATTTTACAGAGGCTGTCCACGACAATGGATGTGCTGAATTGAAGACGCAGAGAAAGTGGCTGAATGGATAAAAGAAAATGAAAAAAAAAAAAGAATAATAGAAACGAGAGTGAACAAGAAAAAAGGAGAAAAAAGGTCGATGTACGAGGTTGGAAAGGTATCACGGCAAACCGAGTCTGTAAAATGTGAGATACGACACAGAATAAGACTCAAACTCTTGACGTGGGTATATGTGATGCACGAACGAGGGGTGAACAGACAAATCAAAAATGACCACAGTCGAACGAATGCAAAGTAGAGAGGATACGCTGCGCTGACACGAAGCGGCGGGCACAGTCGCAATGCGAGAAAAGCAAGCAACAGAGAGCAACAGCAAGCACAGTTTATCGGCTTGGTGACAAGGCACACGATTATGAGAACACCACATTCCATACCATACACCTTCTCATGGGTTCTCATTACCTACTATTAGGGAAGCATATCGTTCGTCGTACAGTATCATTTCCATGGCTCAGTCTGCCCTCAGGGGACTGCCGAAAGTAGAAAACGAAGCGTTGCATTGGGCGCGGTCAACCCGAATGCCTGGGATTTTGGCCCGTTGTTGCGGTGCTCTTTGTTTGCGATGTGCGACACCCATCACAGTTCATGAGGCCCCAGTCCAAGTGCAACGGCGGAAACGAGCCGTGTGCCTGGCGCGGACGAGCTGGGTACCATTGAGCGCAGACATGTGCAAATTCAAACGCCAGATTGCCAAATACCATTGCCGTCTACCCCGGCGATCCGGTTCCTCGTGTATCTGTATCTCTTTTTGTATCTTTTTTTGTATCTCTCTTTGTTTTTATTTGTCGTTATTTTCAGCAATCGTTTGAGCACGCCCGCTTGGCCAGGCCTGCCCCCGCCAGACAATGCCGGCTCCTCTCGCTTGACAACTGCCACGCTGCATCTGGCAGGGAACTGGAGCCTGCAGTACTCCGCACTGCGAACGGACGTCGTCGATTAAACTGTCTGTGCCTAGACCTCTCCCCCCACGTTGCTGGACCACTTGGCCAAACATAGCACATGCTGGACATGTTTGGAACGAGGTTGCATGGCGCCTCAGAGCTGAAGGAGAGGAGTGGACATCTCACATGGCCCTTAACGCTGCCTACATTTGTTTCTCTTTTTTCTCGTTTCATCATTGTAAACTGCTAGCTGTATCTACATCGTATGCCTCCTCCGGAGAGAGCAACTTGTGAGTGCGCTGGGACAAAGCCTCCCACGCAACGACTCCATCTCCGTCTATTGGCACCGAGAATGTTTCCATTTCCATGCAAGCTGGCAAGGTGGCGCTGCCCCTTTTGTCTTCGTCCCTTTCCCACGTCCCAGCCGAAATGCCAAAAATGATATTGGAGGCGACCCAAACGGCATCTGATGGTCCTAGTGGGCTAGTGGACCCATTCCCAAGACGCCGTGGGCTATCTCGTCCCCAGCCCACTTACAGACACTAACACCCTTGCAACATCCGCCGGCCACACCCTCTTCTCTCTGTCTGTGCACGGCACATTCCCTTGGGCTACACCCCCTCCCCCCGGCCCGCAAGGTGGGAACTATCTGGAACTATTTTGTAGTCTGAAATTCGCAAGAGTACGAAAAGCTGCGTGCACACAATATGGGGCAGGAAAAGATACCAAAATCCCCATGTACGAGTCCCCAGCGCTGGGTCGGCAAACGTTGACAAACGACTGAGGACACGGACAGGGAGTGAAAATGAAAATGTGACGACATACCTTGTAGCACCGAGTACACATGAGGACCAGGGGCGGGGCTAGAAAGCGGCAAGAGACGTAGAAGGGCTGCCAGTCGTGCTATGGAAAGACGTCGAAGCAAGGGACATGGACAAGGACGATCCAAGAAGAAAGCAAGTCGAGACCAATGCACAAAAGAATAAAAGAATATAAGAATTCCTGCAAAGATCCACCGGCCACAGTCACAGTCCACTGTCACCGTCCATGGCCATTGTTTAAGAAGACCCCATTCCCTCTCCACCTCGCACCAATACTTGGACATCCTTTCGACATCCCTTCCCGCTCCACCATTGTCAACTCTCACCGGTTCACCTCGCCTACGACTCACATCTGTTCTGTCCACCTTGACGTCCGCCTTGACACTCACCCACACTCACCCACACTCACCCACACAACACTACACAAAGGCCCAACGACCGACAACCGCCACCATGTGTAAATGGATTTGTGTACGTCTCTCGATGGAGCACCCCGTCTCTCTTTCTCTCTTTCTCTCTTTCTCTTATTTTTCTCTCTGGTCAACACAAACATCACTAACCATCCATCCAGAGACACTACGACTGCGACCATAAAAAGTACATCGTCTCCAGCTTCTGCCAGCGCTACATCAAGTCCCGCGGCCGCATCTGCCACGCCATCGGGCACGTGTACTACGACGAGAACTACCTGGGCGAGCTCTGCCCCCAGTGCCGCAACGTCATGACCGACAACCACCGCGAGTACATGTTCAAGATCTACAAGGACCTGAACAAGAAGCACCCGGACCGCAACTGGGACAAGGTCGTCGCCGCCGCGCGCTTTCCAACCAACAACACGCAGGCACGAACCGTTCAGCTCCACTATCGAGCGGTGCAGTTGTGGTGATGTCATGGTGATGTCGTGGTGATGGACGGTTGGGCACGGTAGAGGCACGGCAGGGGCACGGCACTTTACGTACCCGACGGGCGTTGACCGGCGATTGGTTCGGAGTTTTACTTTTGATTTGCTTTACTTTTGCTTTTTACACAGTCTTCATGGACGAAACATCGCCAACAGGATACGGCAACGGGCCTTGGGCCTCGGAACTCAGGACAAGGAACAATGGACAAAGGACTGGGAAAGGCGCGATTTGGGACACAAACTTACCAACGTCGGACGGAGGATCTTTGATTATTTTGGAGTAGTCAGTCTATTGTGACTACCACAGGGTGCCACGATTGCGAATGTACGTTTTTGTTTTGATATACCAAAATGCATGTTGTTCGAGACGTACCTCTGACGTCTTTCATTCTCGACGTGTGTCCACCTATCAGAGACCATGTCGTCGTCTCCGTCCTACTCAATATGTTGTGTCAATGTGGTACCGCTGTTGTGTCGAGTCTCGGGCAACGAGACGTCTTGACCTACTGGCAGACGCTGATCCTTCTGTTTTGCTGTCCTCGTTGCACGGCTTTTGTCCAGCACTGACGACCAACCGTCGTCATCTGTATGCCATCGTATATATCGTCGTCATATCATGATGGATGGCAACTCTTGTGGGACAGCACAGACCCTCACATTGTTTATTGGCTACGAAAACTCGCGACATCATCTTGGCGAGCAGGTGCCATGTTTCTCATCAGAAATACAGTAGAGCCAGACGCGCGTGAAATACGGCACAGATGCAAGCTCGCAGCTGACGTGCCGACTCAACTCTTTCAAGAGTATCGTGAGATTCGAGATTCCGAAGTGGTCCAACCATGCGTAATGGGATACGGTAGCACATCAATCTGCAGTTTCGATTGTCATTGTAGTTGTTGCGTCATTAAACTGAGAGCATACAACCTGTAACGAGTATCGCATTATCACGTATTGATATTGATATGTGATCATGGCGATCAATGGCCATTCCATCAACAAGAGCCACACCGGCTTGTTATTCTCTGCTTCTTTTTGTCTGTAGATCTCTCGCTTCTCAACATTCTACGCGGCCTTGCCACCTTTGAATGATTCTTGTTTATCACAGATTGTCACGGATTTCGTCATTTCTGTAACCGTCATTTATGAGATGCAGTGTGGCAATGTGCCGAAGTCTGGAGACAATGTCGCACACACGGCCAGTAAAAGGTCACCAGAGGATCGAAAGGTAATGGGGCATTGGAAAAGACACAGCTAGAAGAGAACCGGAACCGGACATGAATAGGACACAAGAACACCATGTGATTGTGCGGCACAGTCTCTTGGAAGGCTTCGTAAATAGGTGCAAAATGCTTTGGCTCACGCATCCGTATGCAAAGCAACTTACGTAGTCAGCTGCCTTCCTACGACTTGAGGACTTGACATGGCACAAAGGCAACAGAGGGACACACTCACGAATCAGAGACTGTCGTCTTACAACAGAAAATACCATGCCACTTGCAGCAACAATTCAAGGCCCACGGAAAGGAGCAGCGAACGGGATGCAGTGATCCATGCAGACCGTTGCGTGTGGCAGGCGTGGACGAATCAGAAAACACAGTCCGAAAAGTGAGGCGATCATGCATCGACGAGTGGGAAGGATGTCGTCCATACGGGACCCCAAATTCAACAGAAAAATTGAGCGACATCCGGAGTGTGGTGCAACGAGGAGGATGCCAGGCAACGGAACGTAAAGTCAACACCGTGCTCAACCTTGGTCGTTTAGGTTTTCTTGTCCTTCCTACTCGTCGCCCCGGACCGGCCCTTTATCACAGCCAACGGTTAGAGGAGGCCACAATCTCCAAACAGCACAAATATACGAGGCAGGCCAGCAAGTACGGAGTACATGAGAAACAATGCATTCAGTCCTCCATGCGTTGTACTGCGACAAGACCACCGCCCTGTCGACCGCGTGAAAATGCGTGAATCCTCTCCAGCACCTTGATAGTTGCACGTTCGCTTTCTCGGCACTTTATTGCACATCCCAGTCGCGCGTCCGGTCGGGGTTTTCAGCCTCATTTCGTGATGATGGGTCCATCCCGAGTTGGATGCCACGGCCCCGCCTCTGCTGCCTGGCAAGGGCATCGTGTCACCTTGGAGAACATAAACAGATTGCAACCTCCAGTCGATTCAATGTGTCTTGATTGAATGCATATGGCTGTGTTTTGCAAGACTATGCACCCTGCGTCCAGGCTTCGGGCGCCTGTCTAGCGACTCTGGCAGGGACGAAAACCCCCCACACCGCCAGTTTTCCGTGGCAGAGTGTCATTTCAGCGCTTGAGATGGCGGGCAGAGGACATGGGCGTCAAATTGGTCTAATATGGCTGGTCATTCAATACGATGTTCTCTTTGACGACAGTCAAACGTTCAATTTCTGATTGTATTTCTGCTCCCAATGTTTCGGAAGACGGATAAGTTCATATTCAAAAAGGAAGAGCCTTCACACCAGACGGGGAGAACGTGGCAAGTCTGCCTTGCAAAATGCGATGCCAAAAGGGGTAATGCGCTTGAAGCGAGGTTCAGTGAAGTGGATTTACAACGGAACTGAACGAAGCCGTGAGCCTTTGAAGAGAGGGAAAACTAATACGTTACAGAACAGAACAAACGTAAGGAACGACGAAAGACGGACGAATGACTGTCCAACGTACGCCGCATACAGATCGCTTGCTCTGCCTTGCAGCCGTGGCTCGCCCTGTTTCTGCACAGAGTGTCTTTGCCTTTTTTCTTGTCCTTTTTTTCTCTTGTTGTTTTTCTTCCCCTCCCTATGCGGCTCCCAGTCGATGTGACTTAGGCCACCCACCTCCTTAAACCTCCTCGATGGCGAGACCCAATCTCAAGCGGCCTCGACTGCGGCCTCGACTGCCATCTCTGACCAGTCTGCCAACCTCGTACAGTTTACCTGCGCAGTTGACGCACGCTGCAGTGTCCCATCCTGGTGCTGTCTTCACAGCCAAACACCACCCTCCACGGACGTTTCTCTTCCCGTCCCCAACAGACTTGCTGCCCACACAGAACTCAGCGTTCTGCCCCACTTCAGCTGGCTGCCTGGACGCATGTAATCGTATCACATTCACGACAGTGCAAGAAACGGGAAGACAACAGGCGGCACCGGTCTCTCTCTCTCAACCCGTCTCTCGTTCAGACGGTGGTCATTTGCAATGGACGATGCAGGTGATGGCCATGTACGAGGAGACTCCATTGAGAACTACACCAGGGCCAACAAAGCAGCGCTCGATTCAGGCACGCAAAACGAGGTACCACGGCACAGAGAATGTGTGTGTGCCGTTCTGTAGGGTGGTGCGCTGTTCTGCATGTACCAAGCAAGCCAAGAAAGTTCCCCTCTTGCGCCGTCGCCATGCACGAGGGCCTCGACCGCAAGGTGCAGATAACGGGCGTGGCATCTCGTCGGGTTGTGCACCATCCAATACAGTCGAGAGTGCATGTCAGCAAGACGCGCCACGTCGTCCGGAATTGCAATTGCACGTTTGAAGCTGCACATTCGTGCTGCACGTCTCTTTCTGTACACATTGCCCGCTGGCCAACATTATTGAGGCGGACGTGTGAGTGTGGTTGCACAAGAGAAGCACGCTGCACGCAGCATTCCGCATTCCGGCACCCTGCTTACCTTCCCTTCCCTTCGTCTAGGTTTACCATCCTCGGCCAAGAAGGAGCGGCACAAGCAAAGGCACACCAAAACGTACATACTTAAAGAGAGCATCCTTCTGCCACATCGCCTTTTTTTCCTGTTTCTTCTGTCTCTCTCTCTCTCTCTCTCTCTCTCTCTCTCTCTCTCTCTCTCTCTTTCTCTCGTAACGTAGGAGTTTTATTACACCCTTTCTGTCCTTTTTCTTAGTTTTCGTGGTGTGTTTTGCATCTTTACTCTGCGTCTCCCCAGTGTTCATCTGCCCATCATGGACCACTCCAGAGCCAAGATGACCGTCTTCCAGTACCAGCTGTTCCAGTTCTGGTACAGTGCGGGCTTCATGCCCCTCCTGGGCCTCGACGACGAGGGCATTCTGGCCAAAGCGCTGGTCCGGCTGCTGCGCGTGCTCGAGGACAATCGAGAGCTCGCTGAGATCGGCGAGTCCGGTGACATTGCCTTTGCTGGCTGGAGCCTCAAGAACACCATGCTCGACTGCATTGAAAAAGCCGAGGCCCTGTTGGACCGGCAGCTGCGGCTGCAGCAGCAACAGGAGGTGTCGGAAGGCTACACCACGGCGCCCGTGGCGCGGGGTCCAGCCACCGCAACGGCCTCGCTGTCGGCCCGCCTCGTCGAAATCTCCATTGCCGTGTCCGACATGCTCGCCCAAGTCAAGTCGGCCCAGGAAGTGCAGCATCTGCAGGACCGCATGAAGCAGGGCTTCAAGACAGTCCATTCCCACTCAGGCAGCCGCTGGAATATTTTCAGCAAGACCGATGCGCTGTCTTTGGCTTCGGTGCCGCCTGCTGACGCACCGCCGGGGCCGCCGCCTCCTGCGCCACCGCCGTACCGCCCATGGCCCGGTCGGCCTCCGGCACCGCCGTCGCCGTCGCCGCCATGGTCCCAGCGCCCGTCGGCCATCGCGCCGTACAATCCCAACGTGGGCCCCTCCATGCACAGCACCGACCGCAGCAACGGCTCCAACAGCAACGAAAGCGCGGACAAGGACAAGACAGAAGACATACCTGGAAACACTGTGGTGCTGCGCCTCATCAGCAACCACTACTTCCAGGGCGCCGCGCGAGCCAGCGACGCCCTATCGGCCGAGTGCCTCTTTGACATTGTGCGCCAGATCGCGCCCGAGGGTGCCTTTTCGTACGAGCACATGGTCGCCGACAACAACCTCGAGGCCCTTGTCTGCGTCACAGCCGGCTGGGCACTGGCCCAGAAGGGCTTCCAGATGTCGCCCACGCGCATGGAGAAACTGTCGTACCCGCAGCTCGCTAACCTGCTGGTGCTGTCTGGCAACCAGCTGTACCGCCCGGCGGCCGTCTTGCCCCTTCCCATCCCAGTTCCGGCGTCGTCGGCCCTCTCCTCGTCCTCGTCTCTGGACACGGGCAGCGATTACCACAATGTTCCGAGCTCCGTCAACACGACGGCCACCAACGCATCGTCGGCAACCACCGCCACTACGACCACGACGGCCACGACTGGCAACAAGCCACCCATTTTCCGTGTTTTGGCCATTGCAGCGGCTAAAGCGGCCTCGTCGTCGACTGACTCGTCGCCCGATGGCCCCTCCTCGAGCCCTCATGCCTCCTCTTCCCGAGACTCGCCACCCACTCGGCTGCCGCCACCCGCTCGTCCCTGGTCGTCTGACCCTCTTGCCTATGCTGGTGCTCTTCGCCCTCATCTCAATGGTACGGAGGGCCCGAAAGGCATTCCGCCATATTGCGGGGCCGGTAACGGTTCCTTACCGGGGCGACTCCCTCTGACTCGGAATGCGCCTGTCATCGGCATGAACCGTAACGCGAGGATGCCGGGACAGCCGTACAACTTTCTGGCAAATTCTTCGCGTCACGGGATGCCCGGTGTGCGTGGGTGGTTTCCCGCTATGGTGCCCACGAGCATGAAAAAGAAGAACAAGAACGGCCGGGGCCGGTATGCGCGCTCCTTAGACGCAAGCACTGTCCGGAGCGACAGTGTGAGCACCAGAAGTGCGACGAGCGACAGCGACAGCAACAGTGGCAGCAGTAGCGATAGCGACAGCGACAGCGACAGCGACAGTGACAGTGACAGCGATGCCAGCTCCGTCTATGCCCGCAACAAAAAGACGAGCAAGAAGTCAAAGAAGACCAGCAAGAAATCAAAGAAATCAAAGAAGTCGAAGAAGACCAAAAACAAGAAGGATGTCGACTCGGACGACTCGGACTGGGAGGCTGTGAGTGACCGGTCGGTCGCCCTGTATCGGGCCTCGGACTCGGACTGGTCGTCGTCGTCTGACCCGGAGGTGAGCTCGGGCTCCGACTCGGACTCGGACGCCGTCTATTCCTCGGATGGCTCGGTGGACCGCCGCAAGGCCAAAAAGGCAAAGAAGACCAAGGCCAAAGCCAAGGCCAAGGCAAAGCGTCGTGCTACACGCAAGGCGGCCCTGACGGACAGCGACTCCGGCTCATCGGATTCCGATGTGGACTCGGACGCCGACTCGGACTCAAACTCCGACTGCGCGCCAGACGCGCGCAGGTATCCGGACTCGGATGCTACCGGTTCCGGTACCGACTCGGACGGCTCCGACAGCGCCGACGACTCGGATGCCCGGTCCGTCGCAAGCTCGATCGCGCCACGCGACCTCCCTCGCAAAGGCAAGCGGTCCAAGAAGTCGTGCCGGCGCAAGAACGAGGCGGACGAGGACATGGACGACATCATGGCTGCTCTGCGCAAAGCAAAGGCCAAGGCGAAGAAGGCCAAGGCCCAAGGCAAGCGCTCCAAGAAGACCAAGAGCAAGACGGCCGGCAAGGGCAGCCGCAGCGCCAAGAGCAAGCGTCGGGGCAGCTTTGTCGTCGTAAAAGCATAAAGAGGGACGGAGGAGCTCGTCGGTAAGAAGGTGTCGGTCGAGAAGGCAGTAAATTGGCCGTGTGTCCTATGTTCCGTACGTCAGTGTTTCCGTATTTGAGATTGTATTTGGTTGTCCCATGGTTGTTTGGGCAATGCGTCCCTCTTGTCTGAATATGTTTTGTTTGCTTCTTTCGTTTCATCGCGTCTCGTGTCAGCTGCTTCCTAAGTATAAGAAATAAAGAAAGGTTCTTCAAAAGTCAATCTCGCGCACTGTCTGAGCTCAGCTTGCAAGTCAACGTGATTGCTAGGTCAGATCGACCTCAGCGTCAGGTGGACTGCTCGTTGATGAATCGCTTTGTTTATTGATGGCGAGGGAAGACTCTACAACCTATATTCGTAAGACGTATATAGCTACGGGTAGCTTTTGTTATGGGAAGGCACGACCACCTTTGTCGCCACAGCGTGACTTCTTTGGTCCTTTCGTTCTACTATACCACCAAGGCGAGAACGACCACCAATGCCGGTCCAGAATGCAAACTGACAGCCCGTACCTGATGGCCTCTTCTCGAGCGTGTTACAATATGTAACAAAAAAGAGGACAATGGCGTCGGGTATGAGAGCAGTTCGAGGCCTCAGTAGCGAGGCCTCGAGGCTGCGAATGTGTAATGCAATGCCAACAATACGCTTCCAAAGGCATTCCTCGACATCGCACAACTCTCACTCCCTCTTCGCCACTGGTTGAGTCTCTCCTTTGGTATCCGTCGTACGTCCTAACCATTGTTTTGCTATGAATCAAATACTGGGCATTGCTGGGCAACGGATTTTGTTTGCAGAGCTGAGGTCTCGCTCGCTCCTTCCTCTAGTGCACACCTTCCCCGTCTCGTGCTATTTTGATTCCAACTGCCCCACCCATTTTCTCCCATATATATATATCACATCTGTTGCTCTCCTTAACTTTTTTCTTCCCCTCTCCTTTTTTCTTCTTCTTCTTCTCTTCTTCCACTCTTCTTCTTTTCTTCACACACTTCGCTCTCAAAGAGAGTCAACTTTATCGCGGCTCCCAAATCGTCTGCGGATCGGTGGCTCCCTTACGACGCTTGATGACGGGCTACCAGCACGCCATCAAGCATCGTACGGGAGCCGCAAGTACGACCCAGTCGAATTACAAGTCTCTGACCCTAAGAGCTCGTACAAAATCTGTCGTGGCGATGTTTTGGCCTTTTCCTGGCCGACATTACCCGTTCGACACAGCCGTCGAAGTCCTTGGGGCTATGTTTTGCGTGGGTAAGTCAAAACTCCCTTTGAACAAGAACAGCCGCACGACAGCAAGACATTCTGACATTGTGATTGATTCTAGCCCCACTGACGTCGGCGGCGATGCTGTGTGGGTTCCCTCATTCTGAGCAGACGAAAGTACGGCGGGTTTCACCCTGGTGATGACGTTGGTTTGGCCGCGGTACGGTGGCAAGAGTTTTCTCTTGATTGGGCTCTTGTCAAAACTCCCTTTTTTCAAAGAGGGATCTGGCAAGAGTTCTCTCTCGACTGTCCGCCTCGCCGACTCTTCTTACAAAGACTTGTGGTTCCCGGTTCGAGACAACATGGAGTGATGGACGGTGCCTTTTCAGTGACAATATCGGTGACGGAGGTAAGACTCGAAAAAGGTTAGGTGCTTGCCACATACATCATTTTATCAACCATGACTTCAGTCTCAATGAGATTCTGCTCTCTTGGTTCGTGGTTCCCTTTTTCTTGAAACATTTACCTTGATATCTTGTCATGTGTCTTTTCTTGATATAGCTTGCCCTTATAAATCATCATCACTGTTCTCAGCAGCGGCGAAACTTCTAAAATCCCTACCAAAACAAACGCGATACACAGCAACGTCATGATAGCCACGATCATATGGCAATCTACCCATGTTTCAAGCATTCGACTTGAAGTATCTGCAGAATCATTCTTTCGAAGATGTTAAAATAGGGGTTGTGGTGAGAGTAAACAAACGTGGAGCTCAACCACGCCCTGGAACGCGACTGCTCTAGCGTCTTGCGCGTTAAACCCTGCTGACATAACAGCGACGTTGCGGGACCCCGTGCCTGTCTCGCACCTAACACTAGCGGGCACGTTCCCTTATCTTGCTTTGCCTGTTTTGGCCACATGCCGCAATATCTCCAAATCTTCAATGCAACCCATCTACTATTGCGCAACGCATTCTACAAGCCACAATTCCTCACGAGGCCCCAACAGCACCTCCACAACGTACGTCTCGACGAAGAAGCGGGACGAAGAAGCGGCAACAGGGTGTCACACCTCTCTATACGTTACGAGCACGCGCATCAGGGTTTTCCCCTCGTCGTCACTCGACTGTCCAACCTCCTTTCTGCCGGCCTCCTCCTATCTACCGCTCTCTCCGCCGTTGGTGTACCCTCTTACGGACAGAACGATTAGTACAACGGCCGTAGGGCCGGAGCGAGAGCAACCATGCCCTCCTCGCCAGCCACTCCAGCGACGGCCGGACCCTCGTCTGTCTCGTCTCCCTCGGCCGCCAAGGCCCTCTCCGTCTACTCCGTCACCAAATCACCCAGCACAGGACCACACAGCGGCGCGGGTCCTTCTGCATACAGCTCCGGCTACAGCTCCTTTCCCAGCGCCGCACAGTCACCGCCCATGACTGCCTCAACGATGCGCCCCTCCCTCTCGGGCCTCGCGCCCGGCTCGTCGACCCCCTTTGCGCCCGTCGCCGCGCCCCCGCCGCGCCAGGCCTTTGCCTTTTCCCACGACGACACCGACCGGTCGCGCCTCGCCTACGAGACGCTGTCGGCCAGCGCCAAGGCGTACCGCGTGGCCCTGGGCCAGGTCTCGGCCGCGGCGTCCAATTTTGGCAGCGCCCTCGAGGCCTGCGCACGGTTAAAAGAAGCTCGTGCGCAGCCCTACCCACCGGGTCCCTCTGCGCGGGGCGGCGGCGGGAGCAGCATCGGCGGTGCTGGTCTCCTGAGCAGCGGCAGCGGCAGCAGCCTGCACGAGGCGTCGTGCACGGCCGACGTGCTCCTGGCCACGTCCGGGCTGTATTATCTCATGGCCAACCAGCAGGGCATCCTGGCCGAAACGGTGTACCGCGGTTTTGAGCTGCCCATTGTGCACGAGCTCGACCGCTACGGCGCCGACGTCGAGGCCGAGCAGGAGAGCTACGCGGCCGGCATGCGCGACGCCAGCCGCGAGATCCGCCGCCTCGAGAAGGAGGGCGTCAAGCTGCGCAAGCCGCGGCAGCGCGACGTCGGCCGCATGCGCGACCACCTCGTGGCCATGACCGCGGCCCTGGATGCGCTGACCGTGCGCCAGGGCGAGCACGCCGTCACGTTGCTGGACCAGAGCCGCGACATGAGCGGCACCGTGAGCCAGGCGAGCCGCAACCTCGTGCGCGCCGAGGTCGACATCCTCGACAGCCTGGCCCGCAAGGGCTGGCCCGGCGGCGGGCTCGATGTGGTGCTGGACGGCGCCGTCGACCTGTTCTCGCGCAACGGCTACGACGATGACGACGACGACGCTTTGGGCGGCGGCGGCGGCGGCGGCGGGCTGCTGCTGGGCGGCATGTCCAATGGCACAGGCATTGTTGGCAACTCCCATGCCGTCGTGTCGGGCGCCGGTGGCTTCCTAGGCTCCGGTGTCGCACCGAAGCTGTCCTTGCTCGGAGGCGGCGGAAACGGTGGTGGCGGTGCGCCGATATCGAGTAGCACTTTGGACGATGACCTGGTCGACAACGATGCGGATGCTGGTGACGATGGGGACAGCGACGACGTCGGGATTGACGACGACGAGGCGAGCGAGGTGTCGACGATCAATGGAAATGCCAGAAGCAGCAGCCGTGCTACGGGAAACGATGACGCTACTGCGTCCACCGGCGGCGGCGGCGGCGGCGGTTTCTTTAGTATCCTGACGGGTGGTAGCATACTGGGTCGCAAGCCAGACCAGGATCAAGAGCGCGGTCGCTCGCCGACGAAAGGGCAACGTTCGAGCCTACGGTCACAACAGTCACAGCAGTCACAGCAGTCGCAAAAATCACAAAGGTCACGGCAGTCCCACCGATCGCAAGATGCGGCCAATGAGGGAGCATCGATAACAGAGGAGGAGGAAGGAGAGGGTGACGATGAAAACGGCGACCATACCCTTACCATTTCCTCGAGTCAACTGGCTTCGGCGTCACGCGAGCAGCAACAACCACGCCAGGCGCGAGCCGACAGCCTGGCCGTCGAGCCCTACCAGCACCAATACCAGAGTCTTGACAGCCTGGCCCACGCCGAAGCCGAAGCTGCATCGGCCACCGGCAGCGATGCGGCTTCTCTCCAGGGACGGGCCGCTTCGGCGTCGCGCAGAAAAGCGCACCAAGGAAAGTTGTCCAGGCCGACGATGACGCCGGCCAGTAGCCGCGGCCGGTCGAGGCCCTTCTCGCCGCAGCGCGTCTCGGTTGACCCACAGGACGACCTGTTCTCGGGCCAGTTTTCGAGTCCTGAGCGGACGTCCCTCGCTTGGCTCAAGGAAGGCGAACAGCTGGATACGCCGCAGGACGAGAAGGACGAGAAGGAGGTGGGAAACATGGAGGCTCCGGTCGACGACGATGCCGGCGACGAGCGACGGTCACAGGCGAGCGCCACGAGCAGCAGCGCGGACAAAGGAAAGGGCAAGGCCACGGCAGAGAGCGGGCGGACAACACCAACGGCAGCGGCATCGGCATCGAGAGCGTCCTCTACGAGGCCGACACCAGACACCAACCACAACGAGACGGATGAGGGCGTGTACATATGGCGGCACGAGGGCTGAAGTTGTTCTTGAATCGGATTTTTGTACTGTTTACTGGCATTTGCATTTGGCTCATTAGCATCGGTCTCTTTAAGTGTACTCGTATAGTAGCGGCAGCTGTAATTCCATGTCCACCAATATATGTTGTGAGTAGTTATGAGTTGTGAGTTTGTGTATTTTGGTCAATACCTTTTATGAGAATAAGGGTGTTGTAACTCGATCTTTTTT